CTGGTAATGGGAGTTTGCAGCGTTTGGCTCTTGCCACCACATCTCCTGCTTCCCACCAGGCCTCTCCGCCAGGATGGACTCTTATGCCTCTGGGACTGTAGGCCAAAATAAACTCTCTCATCCGCCCACCCCCCCCAAATAAATAAGATTTGTGTGATAATTAAGCATTTATCAATAGTTATAATTATGACTTTGAAAAACTTTCCAAAAAACATTTAGGGTGCTAATGGAGAGATTGGGTCCTGTTTAAAACTAGAAGCTATTCAACAAAACCTTTCTGAATACCTGTTGCAGTAGATATAGGTGCCTGTTTGGCCCACTTGCCTTCAGCATTCCGGATATTGCTTTTTTCCCCACCTTCAGTTATTTAGGTGGGGTAACACCAGCCCACTTCTGGTGGCCTGTTTTCCAGGAGTAGACAGGTAACTCATTCCTGGAGCATTGGTTTTTGTCACAATCCAACTCACTAAGGGCATACTGGTTTGTGAATGAGTCTGGAACCTGCCTAAGTCACTGAATGGGACTCAGTGTGGCAGTTATATCCCTATTAGCTGAGTGTTGAGATTGTAAGAGTGGAGGAGTAAGAAGGAAAATCAAAGAGGAAAGAGGTAATCCAAAGGAGAGTTGAGTCACTGAAGTCACAGGGCGTGTGTATGTTGAGTGTGTGTGTGTGTGTGTGTGTGTGAGTATGTGTGTGAGTATGTGTGTGTATATATGTGTGTGAGTGTGTGTGAATATGTGTGTGTGTGTGAGTCTGTGTGTGTGAGTGTATGTACGTGTGTGTGTGTGTGAGTGTGTATGTTTGTGTGTGTGTGTGAGTGTGTGTAGTGTGTGTGTGAGCATGTATGTGCGTGAGTGTGTGTATGTGTGTATGTGAGTGTGTGTGTGTGTGAGTGTGTGCGTGTGTGTGTGCACACGTGTGTGTGCAGGAAGGGCTGCATCAGTATTATCAACCTATTAAACAAGCAATGTTTATGCCTTGAAGCTAACAAATGAAATCCTTGAATAAAATATTTTATCCACCTCAGGTAACTAAATTCAGTGGTGATTGATTGTTCTGGGGGGTGGTGTCCACGTCTTTGTAAATGAGCATTCTATTGATTTCTTTTTCAAAACAGAAGATAGGAAAGCACATTAATTTCTTTTTTTTTTTCTTTCCACATTAAAGGTTTCTTTTTAGGAATTTTTCCTTCCCTCAAAAAATACTGAGTGAGTCACAGTGCTAATCTGTTTTGTCCTGGTAAATTCTGTCTTATTATAGAGACTTTTTCAGTGCGGTAATAATGTTCAGCAGATTGTTAGGGATTTAATTTTATTCATTTGTTCTTATACAACTCTTCACTAGGCCTGAGATAAGCACCAAGCATTGTGCCAGTGGAATTGAGACTTAACAGTGTTGTGCTGCTTAGAATATGAACTCTGTACAGAGCTGCCAACTCAGAGCCTGGTGCGCCACAGATGGATGCTCAGGGCTTTCTCACAGTGCAGAAGAATGGGCAATTCTAGGTAGGATCTATGTCCTTAACAATGATAGCTTGTGATGGGCCATAGTTGACCTTTGAGCAATGCTTGGGGCTCAAACAGGAATGGAGAATTCGAGCTCTGTATAATGTCCAGGGTTTGTTTTTGTTTTAAGTCCTCATATGAAGAACGGCTTTCATCATGGCATTTTCATATGTGTTTGTCATTTCACTTTGTTTTCATTCATCTTCTGCTTCCCTTGCCCTGCTTCCATTTCCGGCTACTTAACTCTCAGCCCAGTAGTCACCATTCTTGCTTTCCCGTCCCATGTATTCTTAAAGTTTATTTATCTATTAATTCTTGTTTCATGTGTATGGGTGTTTTGCCTGCACGTATGAAAGTGCACACATGCAAGCAATGTCTGTGGAGGCTTGAATTGGGCATCAGATCCCCTGGAACTGGAGTTACAGATGGTTTTAGCCACCATGCAGGTCCTGGGAACCAAACAGGTTTTCTGCAAGAGCAGCCAGTGCTTTTCATTGCTGAGCCCCCTCTCCAGCCCCACATAAGTTCTAGTACTCTCTCTTTTCCTTCCTCCCCCTCCATCTTTATCCCCTTTCTGCGTTCAGGGCTGTAGTGGTTTGAATGAGAATGTCCCCCAGAAGCTCCAGTATTTGGACATCTTGTCCTCAGTTGGTGGGGCTGTTTTGGGAGGTCTTAGAAGGCCTGGCGTTGCTGGAGGAAGCATGTCATTGGGGGTGGGCTTAGAGAGTTCTTATGCCAGTAGCTATCTGCTTCCTGTGCCTGCTTGAAAATGTGAACTTTCTATTCTGGCCACCTCCTGTCACAGTGGACTCTGATTCCACTGGAACCATAAGCTCAAATAAACTCTTCTTCTTATAAGTTCCTTTGGCCATGGCATTTTATCACAGCAACAAGAAGGTAATTAATACAATGCCCCCTCCCCCAATTTAAATTTGGAGTCTGCAAATGAGAAAAAAAACATGCAGTATGTGGTTTTATGAATTGGGTTATTTTGCTTAATTTAGTAGTCTCCACCTGTATCCATTTTCCTGTACTCATTTTTCTTTTTCTTTACAGCTGAATAAAGTTCCATCCTCTCTCTCTCTCTCTGTATATATATGTACATATATATAATGTTTTATATATTATATATATTATGTTTTCTTTATTCATTCATCTGTTTTTTAAAAAATGTGTGTATGTGTGTGTGCATACTTGTGTGTGTATGGGTGCATGTGTATGCATGTGGAAGCCAGAGGACAACCTTAGTGTCATCTTTAGGAACACTTCCCATCTTCTTTGAGACAGAGTCTTTCATTGGCCTAGAGATCACCAATTATGGTAGACTGGCTGGTCAACAAGCCCCAGAGATGTTCCTGTCTCTACCTCCCCAATGCCGAGACTACAAGTTTCTACCACTATGCTTGTTCTCTTTACATGGATTCTGGGGATCAAACTCAGGTTCTTGTGCTTATAAGGCAAGCCATTTACTGACTGAGCCACCCCCCTCCCCATGCCCTTTCATCTGTTGATGGACATTTAGGTTAGTTCCATTCCTTTACTATTGTGAGTAGTGAAACTATAAACATGGGTGTACAAGGGTCTCTCTGGTGTGTTGACTTAGCGTCCTTTGGGTATATATCTGAATGCTATGGCTGGATCATACGGTAGATCTATTTTCAGTTTGATAAAACTCCATACTGATTTCCATAGTAGCTGCCCCAGTTTCATTCCCACTAGCAGTGACCATGGGTTCCCCTTTCCTCAGACCTTTGCTAGCATCTGTTGTCATTTGTTTTCTTAATGATAGTCATTCTGATTAGGTTGAACTGGAATCTTAATGCTCAGGTTTAATAGTATTTATATTTAGTTTTTCACATCGAAATAATTAATCACACTTAAGTCAATGCATTTTTGGATAGCTGGGACAATACCTGATACCACAGTGGACAGTGATTTGTTCTCTATTAGTTTACGAATGTGATGGGTTAAGTAGTGGCTTTCCCCTAAAAAAAAGTCCATATCCTAATTCCTGGAATCTGTGACTGTGACTTTATTTGGGGGGAAAAAGTGGGCAGGTATAAGTAAAGATTTGAGAGGAAATCACCCTTCATTATAGGGATGGTTCCTCAATCCAATGACAAGCATCCTTACAATAAAGAGAACAGAAGACAACACAGGTGACCGGAAGGCTGCATAAGAACAAAGGCAGACACAGGAGCTGTGTGCCAGCAGCCAAGGAATGCCTCAAGTCTGAGGCTGGAAGAGGCAGGGCTGGAGTTTCCCTGGAGTCTTGGGAGAGACTGCAGACCTACTGACCCCACAGCTTTGGATTCTGGTCTCCTGAACACGGAGAATAAATGTCTGCTCTTTTAAGTATTATGTTTGTAGTAATTTGTTATAGCAGCTACAGGAAATGAATATGTTAGATTATTTAATTGCTTAAGGATTTTGTGTGTGTGTGTGTGTGTGTGTGTGTGTGCTGTTTTATGTCTAATAATTTGGTGAAAACAATACCTCCATTTCCATTTTTGCCTCTACCCAATGGAGATGTTTGTCTATTTATTTGAAGTTTGGTAAAAACCCAGAGCTTAACATTTCTAGGTTAATTTTGCCTATCACAGGTGCTCAGGGAGTCCATTTAATGGCCTGATACAACATTTTTGAACAAAGTGGCTTCAACACATGGTCCTGAGGTCTCTGCACTCTACAGAAAAGTGACATTGACCCTGGTCTGATATTCCTATTGAGGAAAATTCCCATTTACAGAGTCTGACCGGTGGACAGTTTCTATAACTGCTGCTTCAGGGATCCAGGGCCCTTGCGCTCAGCCCTACCAAGGCTGGGCCCCATCAGGCAACTGTGGTATTTCCCCTATCCCCCCTTGGTGGCCTTCCTAGGAGAATGTTGATTAAATCAAACTTTGAGGGATCTTTAAGTCTATGGATTTACCCAATCTACAGCGCCTCTGCTCACTTTTACTCTTTCTTCCTCACTCTGTTGTTTCCTTCAGATCAATGGTACAACTGGGAGTTTTATGAATGCTTATGTATCAACCTGTCTTGTTACCTTCAAGTTCAAGAAGCATAAGGGTAACATGCCCTCAATAAACATACAGCAAGTAAATAAACAGATAAACACACATTTTGAACAGAGAGCAGAAAAATGTCTATTTACTGAAGGTTGAAATCGGATTGTATAAGGACAGTTATTTTTATTTGTTTTTCTTCTCTTTAAAAAACTTGTTACATCAAATGCCATTGGGTTCAGGATGGAAAGAGAAGTGATTCAGCTGCCCACTGAAATGTCCTTGCCTCCAGGAGCAGCATGACAGGGACGTTGAAACACTTTGGGTTGCAGGGGGCTCACTACTCTTTGGGTTCACTGGCCCAGTCCTTCCAAACATTACGATCTTCAGTGCAGCCTTTCCCATATCTTCTGCGGCAGAGGCTTGGAAGGACTTGAGTGAGAGGCACTGGGCTCACCGCGGGTGCTGTGCGCAGGGTTCCCGGAGCTCCCGCCCGGTCGCGGGCGCGCGCTCAGCGTCCCCATCGCGCGGTCACCTGTGCGTCCAGCGCCCCGTGCTGTCGCCCTCCCTAGTGGCCAGCACCCCTCCAGCCGGCGGCGCGGTACCCAGGCATCAACCTCGCCGGGACACCCAGGGACCGAGGTGGGACCCACTTCCACGCCGCGAATCCCTTCTGCCGGAGGGCAGCGCGGTGAGACGCGGGAGGTTTTGGGGACCCGAGCCACCAAGCTGGGCGCGCACCTGCGGGGGACCTCCGGCAACTTCTCCAGGCCTCTGCCGCTTTGGAAACTGCCTGCGATATCCAACCCTCAGGTCCTGGGGCCCCAAGGAAGGGGTGGGTTGGTTTGAATGACACAAGGCAAAAAAAATGTGTTGTAGGACGGGCTAAGCCCCAAGTTTCCCACCCTCTCCCCCTTCCCGGGAGTAAATTAAAAACAAAACAAATAGAAAAGCCAGCCAGCCAGCCAGCCAACCAAAACCCCAAGCCGAACCCCAGCGGAAGCACTTATTAAAAGGGAATTGCAGCGGTGAGAAAAAAAAGAGATCCGCAGAGGAATCGTGTGAAGCAGGTATGTTGCCGCCATGAGAGACTTGTTATCCTGGGTGCCAGTTGTAGATTCTAGTCGCCAAGAGGGAGTTCTTTTCACTGAGAGGGTGCCTGAAGGGGGTCCCTGAATACTAAAATATTGAAACTAATGCTCTGGAGAGGCTCGGGATCTGGAATCCAAACATCTGACTTCTGGTGTGACTTCCTATTGATTATCTGTGCTGTGTGGTTAACTTAGCCTTCATGGGCATCAGTTTCTTGTCTATCAAATTTGGATGTTGGATTAGGATAATTTCTCAGGCCTTTTTAATCGTACCTCAAATGTACTCCAGACTAAAAATGTACAATTCTGTAACCTGTTGTAAATATTACTAATTTCATGAAACCAAAAGACTCTGCATTGATCTTGGCATTTGGTTTTATTATGTGCACTAATAATTTATGCTGTCAGGATCTTTGTTAATAATTGTAGAGAAAATATTTGTAAAGAAAGTTGTAGAGAAAGTATTTGTAAAGAGCTCAGAAATATATAGTTTATATAGGAATAGATAATCTGCCACTAATTTAAGGAATCCTGTTTACCGTTAAGCCAGTATCTGCAGCACTGTAAAGAAGAAAGGAAGGAGAAAAACCAAAAAACTTGTGACCTTAACACAAGACTTGTTTTGTTTTAGTGTTTCATATTCAGAAGAAAAAAATTGTTTCGGAGAAAACCAAAAATTGTACCTTTCCCATCAGTTCCTGGGTAGTGCTCCTTGATTTTTACATAAAGTTGTGTGCAGAATGTTAAAAAAAATGGTTTCAGACCACTCCAGAGCTTTTTTTCTCTGAAGTGCCTCTCCTTAATAGAGATAATTTTAGTGATATATTTCATTGTATTGGAATGAATCCCAGAAACTAGCAGAGGTTAGCTAAACAGATCAACCAGAAAATAGGAGTGTGTGTGTGTACGCACGCACACACACACACACACACACACACACACACACACACACACAGAGAGAGAGAGAGAGAGAGAGAGAGAGAGAGATTCTATAGTGTCACTGTACTTTACTTTTTGCTTTATTTCTCATAAAAAAACCCAAAATACCTTGACTCATTAAGCAGGCTCAGAATGACAGAATAGCTTTTGTCTCTACTTACAGTATTTTCCTGGTAGTGTTTTGAAAATTATTTGCAATTTAGACACTGCTAGTTAGGATAGGCTTAGAAGCATTTCTAGCTCCTTTTGCTAGCTACGCTCTGAACTACAGTATTTTTTTTTCCATTCACACATGCTTTGTGTTCAATTTGAGAGAGTAGAATGGATTTGAAGCACCCTTTATGAACACATTTTAACTTATTTTCAGCTCTTTTTTGGCCTTCGGACTGGAAATAGCATCAACCATTAAGGCACTGGTGTTCCTCACAGTTCTTCCCTGAAGTAGATGGTCATCTTTGAAATAGGGTCAGAGAGTTAAGTAAATTCTGTATTGATTGGTCAGGAAGTCATAGAACTCAGATACCCTGCTGCTCATTGCTTGGAAAACAACTACAACAGTTCACACATCTGCTGTGTACGGCCAGCTCATTCATGGCTCTGGGGTGCTGTCGTGCTTGGCATGGCTCTGGGGTGCTGTCGTGCTTGGCAGAGGCTCCCTCTCTCTTTTGCAATGTGAGGTTTTACTCTCCCATGAATTTATCGAGGAAAAAACAGTCATTGCTCCACACTTAGATCACTATTATAGGACCAAATGGTATGTGTTTTGGAAGTGCTCTGTCGTTGGGAGGTCTTGGAAATAAGGCCTAAACATATCCAGAAAAAAGAAAGAATTCTTTTGGCAGATACTACACTGCATTTTTTTTTTTTAATCCTTAGAGGCAAACACTCCTACTAAAAAATATGTCCTGTGGAGTTAGAAATGAAGAAAAGGCTTATGGTTAGTTCTAAGTCTCAAGATTTTATGTGATTTACAAATTCCAATTTTAATTAGATTAGAAAAGTACAAATGTTCACCTACTGGCCAGGCTTAGTACACATAGTCTTTTGGGATTTTAATTTAAATTTGATCTGCCTATAGTTTAGAATATTCCCTGTCAAGTACTTTAAAAAAACAAAACAAAACAAAACAAACAAACAAAAAAACAGGGTCTCATGTAATCTGTCCTTAAACTCACTATGCAGCAGAGGATGACCTTGAACTTCTGGTCCCCCTGCCTCTGCACCTGAGGGCTGGGATTACAGTTGTGGATCACCACACCTAGTTTATGGGGTGCTGGGAATTGAACCCAGGGTTTCATGCACCCTAGGCTGGCAGTCTTCCAAGTAAGCTACATCCTCAGGCTTTTCAAGTGAATGTTATCAAAGACCTTTCTTGCATTTATTTGAGATAACCATGTGGTTTATGTCTTAAGTATATGTATGTGTTGAATTGTACTTACTGATTTACATATGTTGAACCACCTTCTCGTATCACTGAGTTGAAACTAACTTGATTGTGGAGTGTGATCTTAATATGTTTTTGAATTAGTTTGTAAGCATTTCATTGAGAATTTTGATGTTTATGTTCATCAGGGAAATTGTTTTTATCTTTTTTTTCTGTGGTATATCCTCATCCAGTTTTGGTATCAAGGTAATTCTGACTTCTTAGAATGAGTTTTATCATGTTTTTCATTTTCTATTTTGTAGAACTCTTTTAGGTATTAACTTTTCTTTAAAGTATGGTGGAATTTGGGAGTAAATCCATCTGATGCTGGGCTTTCTTTCTTTTAAGATTTATTATTATTATTATTTGTGTGTGTGTGTGTGTGTGTGTGTGTGTGTGTGTGTGCCAGTTGTGTGTGAATGCCTATGGAGGCCAGAAGAGGCCATTGAATCCCCTGAAGTTGGAGTTCCAAGTTGTTGTGAGGTACCTGAGTGGATGATGACATCTAAACATGGCTCTTCTGGAAGAGCTACTAAGTGCTCTTAACTGCTGAGACATCTCTCAAGTCCCACTGTTTTTTTGGTATTTTTGAGACAGGGTCTCCCTGTAGCCAGACTCACAGAGATCTGCCTGCCTCTGCCTCCTGAGTGCTGGGATTAAAGGCATGCGCCACCACGCCTGGCTCAAGTCCCACTTTAAAAAAATTAATTAAAAAGTTTAAATCTTTGTGTGTGTGCACACATTCATGTGTGTAAATTCAGGTCCACATATGCCATGGCATTTGTGTGGAGGTCAGAGAACAGCCTTTGGTGTTGGCACTCACCTTCCATCGGTTTGAGACAGGATTGCTCTTTTGTTGTTCATCGCTGTGTTCTAGGCTAGTAGGCCCGAGGGCTTTCTGAGACCCTCCTGTCTCTGCCTCTCATTTCACAGGAGGAACACTGAGGCTTCAGACTCATGTTACCACATCCAGTTTTACGTTTCTGGGGATTCAAACTCATGCCCTCACGCTTGTGTGGCAAGCACTTTATCCAATGAGCCAAATCCCTAACTCCTGGGCTTTTCTTTGGTGGGAGACTTTTTTTTTTTATTACTGCTTTAATTATCTTTCTTTTTATGGATCTGTGAAAATTGTTTACTGGATTTAATTTCAGTAGATTATATGTCTAGAAATATATCCACTTCTTCTGAATTGTTCAGGTTTTTAAAGATGTTTTCAAAGTATTTCCTAATGATCCTCTGGATTTCATTGCAATCTGTTTTGACATCCCACGATAACCTTTAATTCTCTTAATTTAGGTCATCCCTCTTTCTTTTGCTTAGATTAGATATGTGGGTTGTATTATTTATTTTTGCAAACAATTTTTGATTGACCAATTGATTTGACAGATTACTTTTAAGCTTTGTCTAATTTGTTTCTGTCCTGATCTTTATTATTTTTTGCTATTTACTGCTTTTGGGTTTGTCTTGCTCTTGTTGGCCTTGAAATACACCATTATGTTATTTGAGGTCTCTGTGGTTTTTAAAATGTTTTAGAGAACATTTTAGCTATTGTTTTCATTTTATTTTATGTGTATGAATATATTGCCTGCATGTAAGTGCACCCATGTTGTGCAATGCCCGTGGAGGTCAGAAGAGGCCATCAGGTCTCTTGGAATTGGAGTTATGGACAGTTGTTAGCCACCACGCGGGTGCTAGGAAATGAACCCAGGTCCTCTGCAAGAGCAGCCAGTGCTCCTAACTGCTGAGCTATCTCCCCAGCCCTGATTTCTTACATTTAAGCCTGCATAGTTATACACTTCTCTCCTAGAACCTTAGCTGTGACCCAGAGGTTCTGGTAAGTTGCGTTTTCATTCTCATTTTCTTTTAGTGATTTCAAAATTTCTTCTCTGATTTTTTTTTTCTGGTGACCCATTGGTCATTTGAGTCTTTTATTTTATTTTTTTTCCATTTCCAAACATTTGTGTAGTTTTTGTAGCTTCTTTGGTTATTGGTTTCTAGTTTTATTCCATTACGATCTGATAAGATACAAGGAATTATTTGGTTCTTTTCTGTTTAAGATTTGCTTTGTGACCTAGAATATGGCTTATTTTAGAGAAGGTTCCACGCCTGCTGAGAAGAATGTATATTCTATTTCCCTTGTAAGGAATATTCTGTAGATTTCTGTTAAGTCTCTTTGGTCTGTGGCAGTCTATCTCTGAAGTTTCTTTGTTGATTTTTAGCTTGGATAACTTATCTAAAGATGAGAGTGGGACTGGAGGGCTGACTTAGTGGTTAAGCGCATGCACTGCTCTTGCAGAGGACCAGAGTTTGGTTCCCAGCACTCATGAGCTGACACTGCCTGTAGTTTCAACTCCAGGGGACTCAGCATCCTCATCTGGCCTTCTCAGGCATCTGCACTCACACGCACATACCTACCTACCTACCTACCTACTTACCTACCTACCTACCTACACACACACACACACACACACACAATTAAAGATAAAACAGAATGATAAAAAAGAGAATGGACTGGTTGAGGCCTTTGTTCATGTAGCTGAGTAGAAGAACATCTTCACATATGTGATGCCCTCGATTCAATCCTCAGTACTGCCAAAATAAGAAAAGCGATGAT